TAAATCTTTAAAAAAAAAAAAAATGACTTTCCAGTCTTCTAACTTGTTATTCATCTATGATGCATAAGACTAACCTTAATAATATTTAAACAATATTTACTCACGAACTGCATATGGTGTTAAGATCAAACAAAATAAAAATAAGTATTTCAATTAACAGCTACAAATATACATGACTTTTTAAACTGCCTACTATTCTAAATTATTCCTATCTGACTCATCTCTGTTAAGTAAAGAAGAGTGACTATATTAAATACTCTCCCTATAGAGGTATTTAATTTAAAAATATATATTTTTTAATTTAAAAGATTTAGACCAGAAGATTCCCTATAAACGTAAATGGCATCCTTCAACTACACTGGCATTGTCTGCCCAAATGTATAAACTAGTGATGTGACATGAGCCCCCCCCCACAGGTACTGGCAAAGGTATGATCACTGGCCCAGGTGAAGATGACCAGAGCCCAGAGAGCAGCAGCAAAGAAAAATACGTACCGTAGTGGCTGGGAGACAGGTGAATGTGCTGTGTCCCACTCCATCCTGGGGTAGGTGGGTCCTGCAGAAATGCTGAGACATGAGCAGGTCTGATCACCGGGGTTCGAAGCAGCAGCGCTAAGAAAAGAAACATTAGGGAAGTAACAGGCAGCTTTCCCTTAACAGGACCTACAGACTTTCTAAATGGACCACATCATTCCATTGGGCACTCGTGAGGCCATCGAAGCAATCACTGAAAGGTTTTTTCCAATTTCTTATATGAACCACTCATGTTTGGGCCTCATTTTACTAAGTTTTAAGTATCAACTACAGCTCCTTTCTTCTGTTCATTTATCTACCCAATCAACAAATATTTATTACTGGCAAGACACGCTTTGCACTGGTTCAAGAGAGATAAAAGACAAAGCATTTGTCCTCCAGGAATCCGATACTGTTTGAGCAACTCATCTATTAGCTTCTTCCCTTTATTTCTCCCATAGAAGAGATGGGGTGTAGATGTGGGAGATAAGAGGATTCACCTGAGACAGAGTAGGGAGCAGAAAAGGTGGACCTACTGAAATACACTGTTGAGGTGAGCAGCAGGTTAGACAGAAGAGGTCTGCTGTGCGCCATGTGGGTCAGCTCCCTGGCCCAGACTGGACTCAAGCCACAGCAGTGACAGCACTGAGACTTAACCCTAAGGCCACTAGGGAGGCCCTACCTTCTTCCTTTTCAAGGTCACCTCTTCTTGAACTTGCACTCATGAACTCATCCCGCTCTGCCCCTTTTGGATCCTATCTCTTGGTTAGGAAAAAAAAACAACAGACCTACATTCATGTAATTACACCAATTATTAGCTGTGCAAGCAACTAAATTGAATAAGATCTCTGCCTCAATGTCCTCATTTATAAAACAAAAAATTACTGACTTCCCCATACTCTGTTGAAAAACTAAATAATATACGCAAGGTGCTCATAATATTTCCAGAAAGTTATAGAGCATGAGATAAGTTCTTTAATCTCTTCTTCCCTCTAGCCATTTTCCCTTGACTGAACAGACTTAACCTTTCCCTTGACCTTCTGTCCTCTAACTAAAACTCATGTTCTCCTCCTCTTTCCAACCATGATCCACAGTGTTTTCTAAATCACTTCTACTTCCTCACTTCTCAATCTTTCCTCAATTCCAGAACTGGTTTCTATTCCTACTGGAGCTGCTTAAGTAAGTAGTCAAAGGTCTCCATTGTGGCCACATCCCAGATGTATTGAACAGTCGTTAGCTACTGAGCCTTTCTGCATGACCTGGCACTGGTGCCCTCTCCTTCCTCGTTTTCTGTGACAACTGTCCTCCAGTTCTTCCATTCATTCGTGGCCATCCTCCTACATTCCTAACTATTTCCCCAGGATTCCGTCTTCTGCCTGTTACTCTCCTCACCCCAGGTCCTTCTGTCTATTCAGCATCTACTGCTTATACACGGAAGACACCAATTCTGTGTAACCAGCCCTGATCTCCAGAGTTTCAGGAGTTTAAGTGCCTGCTAGGTCTTTCCTCAGAAATATCCTATATGGTCTTCAAACTCATCGTGTCAAAAACGGAAATCATCCTTCAACTCACTTTCTCATCCAAACTTGTTCCGATTTACAAGTTCCTGACTTTACATGGTGGCACCCCAATAAACCTTTAACCTGTTTCAGAAATCTGAAAGTCTGCAGGACTTTGACACTCCATGCACCAACTGCCAAATCCAACTTCCACACAGTTTCTACACCTTCATCAATGTTTTTGCTCACTCCGATAAGCTCTGACAGTAAGGTCCTTCCTTTTTTCCTCGCCCTGCTTTATTCTTGACAGTCAAATCAGGTACATCTCCTTCCAGAAGCAAGACAGGGTAATTCTTCCCTCTGTATTGGCCTAACATATGTACAGTAGTCTTGCTTTAGGTTATATGGGTTCCCCTTATAAACATGAAAACTCTCTTGAAGACAAGAACTGTTTGTTCACGTGAGTCGCTCCAGTTTACAGGAGGCATGACATAACACACATGCCCAGATGAGTGACTATCAGAAGTCCTCATCCCCAAACCAATCCCAGGGGGGATGGGAAAGATCAAGAATTGAGACTCAGATCTTAACACTCTTCTCCGATTCCAGGGGGAGCATTTTAAGGACAGTGATTTGGGAGAAAAAGACAAGTCCTATGAAAAGCTGAGCAGAATGTCACTTCCATAAGGAGGGACCCTTCAGATTACCCAGTCACCGCGTGAACCCAAAGCAGGGGAAACCGCGGGCATCGACGGTCATTATCGTGGTTTCAGCTGGAACCAGGACCGTAAGGGGTGGGAGGCCCCGCTCCTCCAGCGGCCTCACCGCCCGGCAGCCCAGTTCTCGCCACAGCTCGGCGAGAGATTCTTCCCCGACTGGCGGTTGTGCTAAGCACCCGGATCGGCCCGGCCCCTCACCTCGGCCTCCTTGGGCACCGCAGAGGACACTCAAACGCCAAAGAACCGCCATCGCGTTCCTACGTGCTCAAGGTCACCCGACAACCCGGAAGCAGTCCTACAGCAAAGGTGGCGCCCCACCTCACTCCATGTGACGAAAGAAAACAAGGAGAAAGAGAACGCCGGGAGAACCGGAAGTCGGCAGCGCGCTCCTGCCCGGAGAACCGGAAGTCGGTGGCACGCGCCCGGCGGGCATGCGCACACGCCCAGCGCCAGGGCCTGAACCCGACGCGGACCATGGCGGAGCTGGGGGAGGCTGGCGAGGCGGAGCTGCAGCGCCTGGTGGCGGCGGAGCAGCAGAAAGCGCAGTTCACCGCACAGGTGCGGGGGCCGGTTGGGGACGGGTAAAGAGGAAGGCGGGAACGTGCAGGTTCCGGGCCCCCGCGGAGTCCGGCACTGGCGGCGCGGTGAGGCCGCCTTGTGCTCAGCATGGCTACACCCCCTGCCCTGCGCCAGAGACGAGTCGTTGCCCTCGCGCCCCCGGTGACCGGCAGAGCTCAGGTGCCGGCTAAGGAAGCCCAGACTGCGGGAGCAGCGGAATCTGCAAGTGCCCGGGATTTCACGGCAAGCTTTTTGAGCTGGATTCGGAAGATTTGGGTTCTGACGCCGCTTCTGCCCCTGACAGATCACGTACCTCTAGACGTGACACCCTGCCGCACCGGCTTCTGTGAATGAAATGCGACGATTGTATTTGAAAATAGTAGAGCGGAACGGTATTGGAGAAAGATGACACTGAAGTGGTCAGTCTAGATTATCGGTTTAGGACAAGCCTGTAAGGTGCGGCGCATGACCTTGGACTGTAACTACACGGAGAGGATTGTCATTCTTTAGGACCACAGAAAGGAATGACAGAATTACAGTATCCAGTCTTCCACATATCCATTTTTTGGGGGGTGGGCGTTGGGAGGGCTTGCAGAGAATTATCAAAGATTGGAAACCTTTGGATTCTGTACTTTATATGAAGGTGCTCATTTCTTCTGTATGTCCGTTTCCCTAGAGAGTAGATCCATAACCATCAGTTTGTATAGGTAGGTGTCCATGACCCCAAAAAGATTAAGAACTGTCTGTACTCTGAGAGACAGTTATGGAACCAGATGAGTACAGTGGCTCGAGGGAACTGTTTGAACTTCCCAGTTTAAACCCAAGGTTAGATACCTGGGGGGAATATTATTAACCCTGACAGTGGTTAAGAAATTGACATAAGTAGTGGTCTTTAAGGGGAAAGAATATGAACTGTCTAGAGTGTACAAAATCTTTGGAAAGAGAGTTACTGAGGCAAATTGAGAATGCTGTGTAAGGACCTCGCTGAAACAGTAGTTGGTTGGAATTAAATAAGGGAGTGGGCTAAGTGGCTAATAGAGAAATTGATGTGTTATGTAAAGACAGGAATAACTTGAGGGAAAGTATTCAATTTCTTAACAAGGAGGAAAAGCAGCAAAAGGGATTTCGATTTAAAGAATGTTTTTAATCAAGTGATAGGAAACTAGAGAAATGAGGGAGAGAGAAAATTGGCAGGTAGGCCTATCTGTAAACCCCAGTGATCACTATTTCTTTTTCTCCTTAGGTGCATCACTTTATGGAGCTATGTTGGGATAAATGTGTGGAGAAGCCAGGGAATCGTCTAGACTCTCGCACTGAAAATTGTCTCTCTAGTTGTGTGGACCGCTTCATTGACACTACTCTCGCTATCACGAGTCGTTTTGCCCAGATTGTACAGAAGGGAGGGCAGTAGGACAAAAGCCCTCCGGGACAATGGCAGTAGCCAGAAGCTCACTGGAGGAAGATGGTTAACGATCAGTCAACTTCAGGCTCTTCTGATGCCTGTTGGTGCTAAAAAATAATAGATCAAATGTTTAAAAGATGAAATTTATTTATTCATAAATTCAGGTTATAACACAATTATTCAATAAATGTGAATTCTCTGGCTTTTTTTTTTTTTTTTTTGACATCCCATTTTAGGACTTTATAGATATCTGATTGGCAAGAATACTAGAAATAAATATTATAAGACCAGTAGTGCAAATGGAAAATCTGAGGTTTTGAAGAGCCACTCTTCCACCATATTTACGTGGGCTAAAAGAACCACTAAAGCCTTGGCTTAAGGCATAGAAGAGAATTTGGGATTGAGAAAGATGAAAACAGAAACAGCTTTATTGCTTATATATGACCAAGAAATGTAGGTAAACACAGCAAAAACAAAACAGGCAAAATGTGTATTTGTTTAGATAGGCCTGCAAATGTGGGAGGAACGGTCAAGACCCAATAGAACCAACTTCCTGGACATGACTTGTCTCATCTTCCTGAGGCTGTGCTTAGGATGATTTAGTACTTTTACAGCACAAAAAACAATGCTAAAAAATACATGTTGAAAACTCCTTCCAACAGATTTCACTTGCTCCAAGAACAAAACAATTGCTTTAAGCTGAGAGGTAGTGATTATAGAATGCTCTTCCCCCTTGGGCTCCTACTAATCCCAAAGGTAAAAATATACACCATGGAACACTGAGTACCAAAATACCAAATATCCAAAGTATTAATATTTCAAATAAATAATCCAAAAGGTAGCACCTGCTGATAATCAAGAGATAGGGAACCTCTGGCCATGTTCTAAGGCTAAGCACTTTTATTAGAAAGCCGTCTATAAAGAATAAAGTTAGTCATTAGAACTATAAAATATCACCTCATGGAATGTTGTCGTTATATTCTATTGCTGGTGTCTTACATTGTCATGCTACCATGAAGTATGTATTAATCATGGGGAAGTTAAGGCAGGAAAGGTTAACTTACCTGCTCCAGACATCACAACCAATCAGATGCAGAAGCAAAAGTCTTGAGTTTCAAGCTTTATACTCAGCTCACAAAGTGACAACCAAGAAAAAATGTCACTTGATCTGCCAGCATGAAAAAATGAACTTACATTCTGCCAGACTTTTCAGTGTTACCTTAGCTTCTTAGGAGTCAAAGCAGAGGTCACAGTATATAGTGAAGGGAAATAATGTGATCTCTGCTTGGCTTTAATCCAAGTCAGACTGGAAGTGAATATATCCCTGAGTCTTTCATTTTGGAATCAATACAACTTAGTTTCAGGGAAAAAGTTCATTAATGGGTTTGGAAAGAAACAAGGAAGACATTAAATGGCAGCTGCTGCTCTGAACCCTATTCAGAGTACCATCAGCCAGCATGACTAATTCCCAATTCTTCCCCATTTGGTAAGGACTCATCTAAGACAACTGAAGAAATAATTCTGAGCTCACTCCATTTAGGTCATCTCCAGCAATCGAAAGAAACTTTTACTATCCAATTACCACGTTAGGTGTGTACCCAACTGTGGAAGAGAACTTGAACAGAAATCCGTGGTCTTGTAGCAGCTATCAGTGGATGCTATCAAGAAGGGACAATTTGTTCTTACGATCATTTTCTCATTAGCTGTTCCCTAACCCTGTAAGGCCAAATACAAAAGGCTCAAAACACAAGGCTGAAGACAGCCAAGTTGTGGCACCGGCTATAGACATAGAAGGGAGTGGCAAGATGTCCCCTTAAACACCATTCTACATAGCTCTGGTTCCAATCCACCTCTTGATCCCCAGCCTTTGCTTCCCCTAAATTCAATGTTCCAACTGGTGTACCCAGGTTATGAGATTCCACTTTCTGGGTCTCAATCTGTGGTCTATGCTCTACACGAAATGTGAATTGCAAAAAAATAATCTCTTCAAGAAACCTTCATAACAAAATATTAGATTCCCTATTAACAATAGATCAAGTTTAACAGGCCAAAAGAGATAAGAAGTCTGTCAGAAAGTATACAGATGGCACGAGACAGCTCTGACCTCAAGAGCCCTGTGCTGAGCAAGTCACTGGCAAAAACCCAAGTGTAGGTAAGAGCTGTAAAAACCCACAGTACTGAGGAAACTGAAGAATTCCTCCTTTAGTCATCCTCTGAACTCTCCGCAGACCTTTCATCTGTAGCCACTTTCCAATTTGTGCGTTTGTTTGTCCTTTCCTGTATTTCATTGTTGACTACAGGGATATGAACTTTTTTCTCTTTCTTTTTTCTCTTGGTTTTCTTAGTGTCCCTTTCTTCACTCTCCTCCGAACTGCTGGATGAAGAATCATCAGACTGGGAAGTGTCACTTTCTGCCTCTAAGAATAAAGCAGATTTTTTGAGAGACTTTTTCCTGGATTTTTTCTTACGTTTATGTGATTGTTTCCTTTTCTTGGTACTAGAAGCCCCAGTTTCTTCTGAGAACTCACTTGAGGAATCCACTGTTAGATCTGTGGCTTCTTTTTTGTTTTTCTTCTGTTTTTTGTGTGATCTTTTTTTTTGTTTTTTTTTGTGGGATTTCTTTGACTTCTTGTGTTTGTGAGATTCATGCGCAGATGATTTTACCTGGGAAGATGTTTTTTTCCCATTGGTAATATCTTGCTGATCACTACTAATAAAAAAGAAAGTTCTTTATTATAGAAAAATAAAAATGAATTTGTATTTTAATGTTGTGCATCCTAGAAAGGAGGTTGGCATTACATGAAATTTAAAGTTGAGGTCTGATAACAGGGTTATTATGACTTCAATACTCTATATAAGTTTTTTAAATGAAAAAAGGTCTAATCTGACATATCTATTCCAAACTATACCAAATACGAGCTGTCTCCCAACTAAATAACCTATTATTTCCCTAACTAGACTGTTACAGGCAGCCTTTGCCACAGTCAGGAGCTCAATTTATAGTTCAGAATTAGTACTAATCAGTTTTTTCTAGTTAATTTGCCTTACCTGTCTGTTTCAAATTCTTCAGGATATAATTCTTTATAACCACTGTGACCCCATCTGTAAGAAGACATAGATATTGTTAAAGGAATTCATACATTTTTATTGTTAAAGGAATCCTAAGCAGATAAGACTTAGGAAATCATGCATAGAGACAGACATAAGAACAAAGAAAATAGGGCTAACCCCACATAATAACTTAGTAAGCTAGCCAGTTACATTTTCTGTACTGCACACTCCCACTTCAGACACAAAGGATTCCTCTATTTTTAAGTGAGCCTTACAAGTAGCTACTTAAGGAAGCTAGTCTCTTCCTTAAGAAATACAAAGACAGAGCCTCCCTGGTGGCACAGGGGTTAAAGTCTCAGCCTATCACTGCAGCCTGAGTTCCAATGCCCAGCCAGAGAACTACATAAATCTGTAAAAAAAGAAAGAGGGGCCCTCACTTGTGGTGCAACAGGTTAAAGCACAGCACTATGAAGCTATCACAGCCACTGCAGCAGTAATTCCATCCTACATGGTGTGGCAGACCTCTCCTGACCTACCCGGTGCTCCCCTCAGCAGCTTATTTCAGTCCATCTGCCTGTTCTGCACCCCACTGGCCTGTACCCCAGTTCTTGTATGCATAAATCTAAAAAAAAAAAAAAGGAAATACAAAGACAAACTGATCTTTAGCTGTTTTAGCTATGAAGCATGTCTTCAAAGCACTTCACAACATGATGCTGTATACATTGGGACAGTTTCTTTAATAGTAACTTTGTTAAGATCTTCTTCAAAGACCATAAGACCTACCCTTTCAAGTATAAATTGAGGTACTTTTAGTATATTCAGTTACGCCACCACCATCACTATCTTGAGAACATTAGCAGACACTCTCTATACTTTCCTCTCCTGCAACCACTGATCTACTTTCTGTCTCTCTAAATTTGTTTATTCTGGATATAACATATAAATACAATCATAATCTGTGGCTTTTTATGTCTGGCTTTTTTCATCAAGCATGTTTTCAAGATCGATCCCTGTTGCATGCAGCATTTATTCCTTTTACTGCCAAATAATACTGCATTGTGTGAATATACCACATTTTGTTTATCCATTCATCAGGTGACAGATATCTAAATTTAATCACAAACCTGTCTGGCATGTTAGCTTCATAATCATACAACTTCTTGTTCCAGGCTTTTGCCTTAAGAAAATCATCTTCCAGTGTTCCAGAAATTTCATTCTTTGGTCTCCAATAATCTCTCTGACTTTCTTCATCAAAACCATCACTACGCATCCGACTATAAGAAAACACAGAAGCACAAAAGATTTACAAGCAATCTGTGAGATCACATTATGGAAGATCATACATAAAATTCACTGAATAAGCTAAGGGGAGAGAACAAAACCACCTGATAATACTGTTTTCAAAAATTATGCAAAAGACATGATTTGTTCCTCGCTATAAGTATGTACAGTTGTCTGACAGTATTCTCACCGTACAACCATTCTTTTGCAAAGGAAATCACTTCTGAACTTCTGACATGCTGTAGCTCCTCACTGATTCTCAACTAGGAGGACGTGCAGAGTATAATCACATCCAGCGCTCTCCCTGGTGGCACAATGGGTTAGGACGCAATATTGCAAGCTGGCCGCAGCCACTTCATTGCAAGTTCAATCCTGGGCCCTGGAGGTGACCCACATGGCGTGGCATGTGGTCCTGACCCACCTGCTGCTCCCCTCAGCAATGTACTTTGTCGATCTGCCTGCCTGTTCTGCTCCCCACTCTGTCTGGTAAATCTTCTCACTGCCCCTGTACCTCTGGCTTGTACCTGAGTTCTGTATGCACAAATAAATCTTAAAAAAAAAAAAGTATAATTACACCCAGGGACACTTCAAACTACCCTACAGATTCCGGAATTCTGGAGCTGGAGTAATGAAGTCATAGTAACATGGGAGCAAAGCATAACCAGATGCTGGAGAAGAAAGACAACTGAAAATCACCGATCCAGCCTGTTCTTACATTTTCCACTAATAGGTCACTAAGCCAGCTAATCTGTTATCAAAAATGTTGAAGGGCCTCCCACAGGCCAGGCACTGTTCTAACTGTTGGTAATAGCAACGGAGACAGTC